AGTCGGAATTATTTTTATTTAGGGCATGATAAATAATCGAATTTAATTTGGTGGAATTAAGTTGAGGTATTATTTTATTATTAAGCTTAAATATGATATTGGGCTTAATTTGTAGTGTTGTGAATTAATAGGGGGATATGTCACTTAGGCCCATTTAGATTTATTAAGTAATATAATAATATATTATAATAGAAATAGAGTTAGAGAAGAAAGAGAGCTAGTGTTATCAGAAAAAGAAGGAAAAAGAGAAGAGAAAGAGGAATAGGGTTTTGAGAGGAGAAGAAGAACAAAAGAAAGTTGTTGCTAGTGTAAAATTCCCAGAAATTTCATTGAAGTTTCTTAGAGCTGCACTCAATTCAAGGTAAAGGTGGGATTCTTGCTAAATAAATGGGAGTATGATGAATTTTAATTTGGGTTTAGGATATTAGTTTCTCTACTATGTTGTGAAAAAAGATTGGTTGTGTTGCTATTAAAATTAACAATTAATTTGAGTTGTGTTGTTATTTGTTGTATTTGAACTGTGTTGGGTTAATGTCAAACTAGGATAAATGGGTGAATTGAAACAAGAATTAACAAGAACTAGGCATATGTGAAAAGGGAGGCAAAATTGGTTTTTAGCTCTAGGCTTTCTGACACGGTCGTGTCATCTGACACGGGCACCCGTGTCAGCCCCTGCATTCCATGCCTTTCCCTTTCCTTCTTCTGACACGGCCGTGTCAGACAACATGGCCACCCGTGTCAACTAGTGTAGCAAATTTTTCTGAACTTAGATTTATGCAATTTTTCTGACCTGATTCGTCCTGTTTGATTCTTATGCAAACCAAAACATAAAATATGGCGATAGGGAATAAAACATCAATTAGTTGAACGAAGAAATGATTAAGTAACTATTAATTTCTTGTGTAGAACCATTGATCAGTAGTCGAATTAGGAGGTATAATTAGTTGTCCGGAATTTAACGAAATTTGACCGGGTAACTAAGTTTAATTAGTAGGTAATTATGAATATGTCCTTTTGTTGAAATTATGTCGATTATACTGAATTTCCGGTACAGCAGGTTAAGTCATTTCGTCCGGTTTATGGACATGGTTGATTATAGGTCTTATGACCAATGTTGTTTTATTTTTTGTTGATTGATGAATGTGTTAGTGTTGCGAGATATCATTGAATATATGTGGAATTCGATATGGATAATGTGATTATGAATTATTTCTGTGGGTAGCCTTATGGTGTGAATCCTAGTGAATATATGAAGAATATGTTGTTGCCATCAAAAGTTGTTGATTTCGTTGACATGTTGTGTTCTAGGCCTTTGGCCAATGTCGAACGGTGTGATTTGTTGTTATGTCAATCATTGTTATGTTGTTGTTGATGTTGCGTTGTCAAGTTGTGGTTTTTTATATCCTCGCATAGCATATCATAGCATAGCATTAAAGTTAGTCTGGATTGACACGTTCTAAGTTGGAGCGAATGCTCACCTATGTTGGCCTGGATTGGCATGTTCTAAGTTGAAGGCTTTGTCTTATGTCTCATAATTACTGGCAAATATTTATGTTGGGAGTTCTGCTCCAATGTTACCACATGTATTTGCACATTTGAGTCGCATTTGGAGTCGTGGTTTTGTTGTTTATTTGAAGTGTTGTTTATGCTTGGCGATGTTCTAAGTTGAATTGATGTGTAAGTGAATTGTGTTGCTTTATGTTTTTGTTGTGTGAAGTGGTGAATCGTATATTCTTTGCCTAATATATTGTTTATCATAGCCCTATTTATATAGTTTGATATCTCACTCCTTCTGTTTGAATGTTACTCTTTGTTGGTAACGTGCAGGTAACCAATACGAGTAGCCGATAGCCTTGTTAGTTCGAGTTTGGTGTCATTTTCCCTGATACGTAGCACTCGGGGGGGAATGAACGCTTGTCTGTTTTGTTGTTTAATTATTGAACCTTATGTTGTTATTTGAGGAGTTTATTGTATTGATGTTGTTTCATTATTCAAAAGATGTTATATCTTGTTTGGAGAATTATTATGAATCTGCTGCGTAATTAATCAAAGTTGGGTTTATGTTATGAAGACCGTATTCATGAGTTGTGTTCATTCCACTTCTTTAAGTGTTATGTATCTATTCTAAAAGCCTGATAGGTTTATGTGTTTTTGTTGAATATGTGACATCCTGATTATATTGGAAATTTTTATACTCTGATTTTCCGATAATTGCTTGGGGTAGAATTGGGGTGTTACACATGAGCAGACTCAACTTGTTTTGTTGTTGTATTTCCGAGGTGCATAACCTAATCGGTCCAGGCACAAACAATCTTCTCTGTTATCTGATCCAATATTGTGCTTTCAACATATTTCAATAGATCGGGATAGCTCACGCAAATCTTCCTGAAATGTAAAACAACACCAGCGTATAACTTTATTGTAGATGCATTTATTATAATATTTCATGCATCCATAATTTTCTCCACAATAACACCCACATTTACCATTTTTTCAGTCTCACCTACAATTTATTTTGTCCCTACCGCCCTTACTTATCACATTTTTAATAATGTGGTACCTACAAAGTTGTGCATAAGAAGTGAGAAATATTGTTGTAACTGGATTTACTAATGTTGTATCTCAGTCGGTAACAATGACTTTTGGCATATCTTCTTGGTCCTTCAACATTGACCGATAAACCTCTAAAGCCCATGCAAAGTTGTCCTTTTTTTAGCACTCTAGAAATATAAAACCTACTGAATATGTCTTCTCAGTCGATGTAACACCAATAATTTTTAACAATAGAAGCTTGTACTTGTTAGTCTTATACGTTGAATCAATTATCAGCATGGTGGGAAACGTATTGAACAGTTTAATGAAATCAGGATGAGTTCAATAAATATCTTTTATTGTTACCCCGTCCTCACATCTTCGGTGCCTATAAGCATAATTGTTTTCATCTGAAAGTTTCAAGAGGTGTTGCAATTCGATCCCTCCTAAGCGCTAATTTGGATAAATAACGCCTATTGTACACTTGATTGATATTTGATGTATATCGAGTCTTTTGCGTTTCAAAGTTGCAAGTATGTTTTTAGACGGTACCAAATTCAATGTCATGTCAGAAACACATATCTTCTCATCGGGAAGAAGCCGACATGCAATTGAATGACTGGCTAACCTCAGACTTAAATCATGATGTTTAAACCATATATCACATTAAATCGCCATTTCTTATTTGCCAATAGATAACCACACAACTTAAATGAACTTTCACATTTTCTTGAACCGGTGTCGTCGCATTTCAAATTTTGGGTCTGGCACATATTTCCCACTTCATTCGCATGTCAAAGTCACAAATGCACATCTTCTATCTGTACCATTATCAGACCTTTCAATCACAACACCAAACCCTAGTTTGGTGGCCTCTGTACGAATCTATTGTAGCATGTCTTCATATAATTCAAACTCTTCTTCAATTTCAAAATGGTCACGAATATCTACCGCCTTAGTTACGAGAGGAGATACGAGAGGTGAAACAACTTGAGACACATTAGATTTGAGAATGTTATCGGGATGCACCATACCTAATGTGATTAAAAAAATTAAACTAATTAATATACAATTGCTGAAAAATTAAGCATATTCAGAAAGTGAAAATACATTTATGATTAAGTTCAACTACTAACCGGAAATATAATTCTGGTATTAGCGTAACATTTTTCAAGATGAAAAGCAGATTAATGCGAAGAACGAGGATTGAAATGAATAAACTTTACTTTAAATTCCAATTTTTTGAGCTCATTTTGATACGATGAACCACGAGAATGAAGATTTGAAGTGAAAAATGAATTGAGAATGGAAGGGTTTTTGAGAGAGTTTATGAAAAGATGAGAAATGATTTTGATGATGTTGGATACTATTTTAAGTAATATACAATTTTTCATAATATCAGAAGTATATTTTCGATTATATATAAATTGACAAGGTGACAGACAAATCTCCCGCTATACAAATCGAAAATACAATACCAGATGCAATCGAAACTATATTTCCGATTCTGCATTTGCCTTTTGAATAGGATAAAACTACATTTGATATGTTTGTGTGGTACATAATGCGCACCGAAAATATATTTTCGATTTCAAAAGATATTTTAGAAAATACATATGATTTTTCTTTTCTCTATAGGTGGAAGGAGAAATTCTCAACAAAAAAAATGTCATTCCATAATTCTAAGGCAGTCTTTTTTTTTTGTCACAAATGTCATAAAAAAGTCATTCCACGTAGACAAGGTTAAGAGAAGTCATTGAAAAATCAACCTTAATCAAAATCCACCTTGTACCCAAATTATCAAATTCCAATAAATAAAACCCTAAATATTATCTCTCTTCAAACCCAAATCTCAAATATTAAAAATAAAAAAATAAAAAAAGACCTCTCAAATATCAAAATTTCACTATATTTCCAACTTCTTAACATTTTGAAATTAATTGATGTCTAAACTCCCGAAAAATTGATTAAGAAAACAGAGTAAAAGTTTAAGGTGATGAAGTTCAAAGTAAGAATGCATTTGCTTATGACTACTACAAATATGGTTAAGTAATAAATTAACAACAAATTATATTAAGAGTTTCGCATCCATGAATACAACATGAAAAAAATCTAGTACTAAAAATTAACCCAACATTCAACATCACATGCATAGAAAATTTAGCATGTAAAACACAAGGATCATTAATGATAGCTTCAACACAAACACATGAAAATAATAAATAAAAGAAAGTAGCGATATAATTACCCGAAGTAAATACATCGAACAGAACAACGTCTGTACAAGTTGATAGATACAAAGTTCTGGTGCCCAGATTAAATGAGTTGGGCAGTTGTGAACTGTCTATATTATGTGCAAGTACATATACAAATTACATTACTTAACAAAATATGAATTCTGTCCAAAAAATAAATTATCCAAGAAGAATAATATAGGTAGGAAGAGAAGGAACTTATTGATTCCTTTCCTATGCATCCTTCCTTCCAGTAGCCAAAGCTTCTGATTTGCATATAGGACAGACGTTCTTGACAAGCAACCACTTCGTCAAGCAATCCACGTGGTACTCGTGCTCACATCGAAGAATGCCGATCCTCTCCTGGTTCTTAAACTCCTCCTAAGATACAAAGATTCGTCAAAGGAAGAATTACCTTGGAATGTTTGAATTAGAACTATCAAGTACAAAATAAAACCTTTTGCTAAATGATCGTACCTGACATATGATGCAAGAATCAGTTTCCTGATCGTCAGAAGCTACCTCCTCCAGATTAATAGCAGTGGATTTTGTTGAATAAACTTTCGTCTTTAGTTTTTTCGCAATTGTTTCCTCTGATAAGCCAGTGTTTACACTGCCAATCCTTTCGCCCAATGCAAGAAGATCCTGTAGTCAAATCTCAAGTGTAAGGCGTTGATTGGATAAACAACTTATTTAAACGCTTATAGCACAAAAACTTAGCAGTGATCATATAAGTGCCCTGTATAGGTTGCTTTGAAAAGCTATCTTGGAGAGCTTAAGAAAATAGGCTGAAAAGTTGTTTCTTAAGTTCTCCCACAAATGCTTATTCCTATAAATAAGTTGAAACAAGCCAATCCAAACGGGTTCAAAGTATTTTACAAGTTTTCTATAACCTCTAAAATCACATTATCCTAGACTTCAAACATACCTTAATAGAAAAACAGAATTTGAATCTCAATGTACTTACCTCGTAAGACATGTCCTCAATGTCCAAGCGCATATCTCGGTGATGGTCAATCAGATTTCCCACTTCATCAATTAAAGCAACATCCTATACCGATAAAGTTTAATTGAATAACAAAATCAATGTATTTGTAACATATGGATAAATCATTTGGAGCAAACATGTGAAAAGCCATAGGAAATATTACATCAACTTGGAGGAAGCCCACGGGAGGTAGACTTCGATGTCCGAGAGCTGTCTCTGGCATGAGCCTATGAGGTCGGTATATCCGGAAGCCAGTTGATGGTGCAGGGATAATATGCCTAGGACCTGCCTCAAAACCTGTCGGTGGAGGGATCACAGAACCGCGAGGAGGATTTGGTGGAACCCTAAATGAAGCTGCTGTCACCGGAGGGTGAAAGCTGATATTGTGACCTCTTATTCCTGGCATGGGAAGTGTTGGATGATGATAATTAGGATGCTGTTGGTTGACAGGAGGAGGCGGAGGAGGAAACCTCAGGACATTTCGGTTACCGGCTGTTTCGTGATACCTCTGTAAACCCATACTTGCACTCTCTAATGAACCTCCATTAATAGTGGGTGCTGGAGAATAATAGTGAACACAGTCAGAACATCAAAACTCATAACCGACATAGCAAATTCAAAGAAAAGTGAGTGCATTGTCTAGCATTAACTGACACCATGGAAGGTACATCACAAACAAAATCAAAACATCCAAAAAGCCATAGTTTCCACTTCTCATTAGAAAGCCTGAAAAGAGCTTCTTACATGTTGTCACAAATTACACACACGACATCCAAATAATGAAAAAAAATCACTAAAATGAGAACCTCAACAAGAAGAAAAAAAATCATCTTTACCTTGTATATAAGGCATTGGAACAGGCGGATTCCAGGCTGTAGTATGGCCATCATTGTTATTACTATTCACTTGCTGGTCCAACCAAGGAGGAGCCGCTGGTGGAAAGTGCTGCCCCAAATAGTTTCCGTGTATCAAATGATTATGATCGTGCATCATAATAGACTCGCCTGACCTGCTCCAAGCACCGCCATGCGGCCCTACTCCAATGAGTGAAGGAACACGGAATGGCAATGGCGCATTATCCATCATAGCAACCCCATCAGGGTGTCTTGCATTTGGGGGAGTGATAGAAGAACTAGTTGAAGCATTAAAATGTTGGTGGTTTCCTCTCATCCCTTCAGCAATTTTCCTTTTGTACGGACCTCTTCCGTCATCCACAAAACCATTGCTTCTTCCAAAATTATCTAAGGAAACTCCGGAAATCGCGAATGTGCTTGAACCTGGCAACTGATCAGAAGCTCTATGAGGCAGAGGGTAAACACCGTTACTTGAAGAAGGATTCATGCCAGAATAGTATACGTTGCCTGCAGTTGCAACGCCCATATCAAGATTATGTTGAGGCTGAACACCGTTATATTGTGTAATCCCATACACCCTAGCATTGTCATAAGCATCTGGTAAATAGTGAGAATCGCCATTAGATGTGTTCCCTGAAGCAGTCACCACCGAACGGATATTAGGATGTCCGACGCTGGGGCCTCTCATGAGAACACAATGTTCAGAATGAAAATAGCCTTGCCGTTGTTGATCCATATCTGAATCCGTCATCTGATCCATAATGTAGCGATGTGTTGTTGCAAGTTAATCCTAATATTCCATGAAAGATGAAAAATCTCAAAATCAGCCAGGCAATAAGGAAAAAAGACTAAAATCCAAATACAATCACACCAAATCAATATCCATTAAAATCCAAATACAATAACAGAAAAGCAATCTACTACACATGATGAAACATAAAGATATAGTTAATGTTTCACATGCTAACTTTACATATCAACATTAATCATTAATAACGAACCAGTTCCTTGGATAAATAAGATACATAATTTATGAAACATTCAATAAACATACAAGACGCATCTTCATTGAGAAACAAGACATTGAAAATCCAAGTCAAAACACAACACCAACAAAAATAACATTTAGAGTCAAAACAAGTCACTCCAAATAAAATTCCTTCAAACATATACCAAATGACACCCTCTATATCATAAAATTATGCAAAGTTTTGAAGTAACGAATATCAGAACCCTTGTAATCATAAGAATCAACAAACACATTAAACCAAGAGCTTCAATAAAGGCTAAACCCATCGATTGATCCCCATCATAAGAACAAAGGTTGATCAGGTTTAACTAACCTCCAAAAAAACAAAAACTTTTTTTGTTCTTCTTCTTTAACCATTAATTTTCAGGTTTATCATCAAAGAAAAAAGAACACAACCCATACAATCATGAGCGAGCAAACAAAAATAAAGGAAGAGATAAACAAAGTGTACCTTGTTATCATCAAAACAAGAGCTTGCAACTTGTGAGTATCAGAGATCAATATAACAACATACGATGAACTATCCCAAACCTAACTCTGTTAAAAATTCACAAAAAAACAAAAACAAAAAATTAAACTTTTTCATCAAAAAAAAAAACAATTTTTATTAATGGGGTTAACGGAAAAACGTGAGAAACGATAATCGGAGGAATGTGGTCGCAAGCCAAGAATGCAAGTTCTTTAATTTGATGGAAAAAACACAAATGGGGTGATTTGAACCCTAAATTGGAGAAATAGAAGATGAAAAATTGATGAAGAGAAATAGAATTACCGGAGAGAGAAACGAAGGATGAGAAAGAAGGATCGGAGGAGAAGAAGAAGAGAGGAGAAAAGAAAAGAGAGAGAAAAAGAAAAGAGTATGATGAGGGGAAGAAGAGAATGAAAATATATGATTATATGAAAGAGAGAGGATCGTGTCTTTCATTGGAGAGAATTTTTCATCACTTATGCAAAAATAATATAAATAATAAATTAATAATAATTATATTATATTAACGTTTAAACAAAAGTTTACCCCTCAATCAATAACAATTTGAGGTTAAAACTAGAATATTGTAAAATTGTTTTACATCATCATCAATAGAATTTTTATATTTTAAAATTTAAAATATAATTTAATCGAATATATAATGGTAATTGATTGATAATATAAAAAAAATTATATTATTAATATATTTTTATTTATTTTTTTAATGATTATATATCTTATTAAATTAGATTAAATTTTTTTAATAATTATATGACACAATATATTAATATATTTTCACTAAATAACAATTTAAAATGTATTACTGATTATGTAGTTAGTATATCTTCATTAAACTTTATATTAATATAAAATTTAATTAGAATATATTTACAGTGTTAAGATTTTTTTTTTTTAAAAATTAGCTTTTATTTTAACTTACTTTAAAATGATATATTTCAATGATTATGATTTATTGATGGTATAAAAAATTTTATATTATAAAAATATAGCTAAATAAATATTTATTCAATATGATTTGATTAAATAGTGTACAAATAAATTGTACTGCCAATTATTTTTAATACTAATGATATACATTATTTTAAAATTTACTATGATAAAAGTCAAATATATATATATATATATATATATATATATATATATATATATATATATATATATATATATATATATATATATATATATATATATATATATATATATTAAAAATTTGAAAGTATTATTATTATATGGAAAAAATTTATTAATAAAAAAATATCAAAGTAAAATCATTGCATTATGATTTTTATTAAAAAAGAAATTAAATTTAAAATAAATTTAAAATTATCTTTTAAATTAATGACAAATATACCATTTTGTGTTTTTTATTCAAATGATTCTTATATATAGATTATTTCTATTATATTTATATTTTTGTAAAATTTTAGGTAATAGCTCTTTGTTTGGAATTTACTTTTTTTTTGTCTACAAAAAAAGTAATAATTATTTTGGCATAACTTATTTTAAGAAATACTGTGTTTTTTCTTAATTTGTTTTTAGGGAATATCCAATTTTAAAGTTTAAAATATTGATAAAAAGTAAATAAAGCATTATAATACTTTTTGGTTTATGGGTTTCTTGAATTGGACCAGATTTCATGAATCAATTGAAAAAATTAATTCACATGCAAGCCAGGTCAAAGGAAATATTATTTCATAAATATTAATAATAATTATTTTTGATATTATATTTTTTATCTATTAGTTTAATGATTAAAATTTTATTTTTAAAAATGAATAATTACAATATTATAAATATGAATTTGTTTTTACAATCTGATGTCACTGTACATCTATTAATTGAGTGGTTTAGCAAAACAACATTAATATTATTTTATTATTAAAAATTATTTTATATATATAATATATAATATTTATTATTAAAATTGTATTCCGTAGAGTATTTCTTAATAAAATAATGTACTTGTTAAATGTCCCCTTTGATAAATGAACCAAATTTTTGGTTTTATGAAGCCAAGGGTTTAACTATGATAATTAATAATGTGTGTAACAATATTTCAACTAACTAGTTCTTGAAATTTGACTTGTTATTGTTAGTTTGAAATTTGATAGGTTTAATTTTGTTAAACTACTACTAGCCTTCTCATGCGGCATGCATGATTTAAAAATGGGCATGAGTTTTTCTTTTTTTGACTGAAAAAAGGGACATAAGTTGAATTATTTAATTTTATAATCACATGAATTGAAACTACTACTCCCTTTGGTTTGTTTTGAAAATATTATTTAAAAAAAAGAACTTCAGAGCAGTGAGAAAGTGGCTTATTTTAGTGCCTTTTGATGGATTAGGTATCCAATCATGTGGAGAGGCATGGCGGTGATTAACACACACTTCCTATAGTTTTTGCCTTTAAAATGACAACAATACCCAAAGTAAAAAAACTCATTTTCTTTATTTTCTCTAAACTTTATTTATTTGCATTTGTTTTTATCCTCTTTAAAAATTTATTTGATGACTAAGATAGGATAGAGACAAATAGGATATTGGATAAGAATATACTTCTTTCTTACGTAGGTAGGTAATTAGTGATTCATTTATAAAAAATATTTTTTTTATATTTTTATAATTTTACTAAAAGTTTTAGTTTAATTATTTTATTTTAATTAAACTTTTAGTTTTTATTCAACGTAAAATGAAAGAATTGTCATTTTAATGATATTATTTTATTCATTAATATTTATGATTACAGATAAATTAATTAATAATTAATAATTTATATTTGATTACTGGTAGTTTATAATTAATAATTGATAATTAAGTTTAATTAAAGTATTTGATAAAGTTAATGATTTAATTAATTAATAAATAAATAATGAAATAAAAGAATATTTTAAATTATTAATAAAATGTATATTTATGATTTTTAAAATTTTATAATTTAAACTTATTAATATAAATATTTTTTGGAATTTTTTTTATTAATAACCATGTATTAAAATAATATTTCGCAAATAACCGGGTTTCGGAAAAAATTACGCAAATAACCATGTTTCAGATGGCTCCACAAAGGAGGAGTCATCTCACTTGGCGCCTCCACCTAGGGTTTTGCCCTAGGCGCCATCTCACTTGGCGCCTCCCTTGGCTTTTAGCCAAGTGAGATGGCGCATGCTCCTTAAAAATGAGAGGAGGCGCCATCTCACTTGACTCCTAGGGCAAAACTAGGGCAAAATGTTGTTTTATAAATAATTCGTTCGTTTCTCCGAAATTTCTCACACTTTCTCGCACTGTATTTTTATTTTGTACTCCGTTATTTGCGTAATGATGTCGCCTATGATTTCTAGCAGAGATGGTTACGTTATATTCTCCGCCACGAAACCTGCGATGAAAATGAAATTCTGGCACATTCACTCCATGGAGCGTCTGAAGCGGGAGTTGATGCGGTGGCTAGATGGAGACATCGCGGAGGGGGGGAAAATTCGAAGGATCCAGCGAAAACGAACAACAACCTCACATGCGACAGGAAGACCTAATGTGTGGTTGGAGGAAGTCAAAACAGACAGTGATGTAATGCTGATGATGCATGGGTCAGATGAAATTGTGTTAACAGTTGTAATTTCCTAGATTGAATATCGTTAATTATTGTTGTACGCGTTTTATTAACTGTAGCAAAATCTGTTAACGGAAAACCCTAATGTTTACAACACAAATATTGAAAAGATTTATTGTATTACAATATTTATGTGGTCGAGCCAGACGCCCGATTCGGACAGTTTTTGCGATTGTGTCCGACCTGACGGCATAAACCACACTTTCTTTCCAACCTGTCAAGATCGTCCATTTCTGTTGTGATGCGCCTACTTTTGGGACGACCCTTCTTGTTCCTTTGCATTTGGTCATTGTGCCAAACTATATCGCCGTTGTATTCAGGCCAATAATCTGGTTTTGCCACCAAAGGAAAGTTGTTGTTGTAAACAGTGAGCAACGTTTCAGATTTGTAAACGTTTGACAGCAGTTGAAGCGCGTCTTGATGGGTATGAGCACAAGCGGCAATGACATGAGAGCAAGGCATACGAAATGCTTGAAACCTGCCACAATCGCACCATTGAGAAGGTAAAATGACCCTGTATTCTTGTCTTGGCAGGCCTTCATTGTGGTCGATTGTCTCTTTCACAATGAAGTTGTGGCTGTGTCGGTCAAACCGTATAACCATGTGAGTGTTGGCTTTAGCACTTTCAGCCTTAAT